TAATGTAGGCTGAGCATGAAGAACTGAAACAGATTTACAAAATACATCTCAGTTTCTCAATCAAATGTGCTTATGGCTCTGTATTAGGGACACCACTGGTGTGGCAAACTGAACTTTGTGTCAATAGTATTGCCACTGTGTAGGTACAGCTTTGAATTCTTTTCTGTTTGTCCCCACAGATAGATGTCTGGGTTTCTAACCTACCTAGCAAAAAATGATTCCATGTCTGGTGCCTTTTGGGCAACGAAGATTGCTTTGGGCTTGTGTACAATGAGTAGAAATAAATCTATAGAGTAGCTGTCATTTTGATGTTTCTAACATGTTTTCCCTTTCTTTTCATAGATAGCTGCTGCTTTATGGTGGTACTTTGTATCTAAAGGAGTTGAATATTTGGACACAGTGTTTTTTATCCTTCGGAAGAAAAACAATCAAGTTTCTTTCCTTCATGTATACCACCACTGTACCATGTTTACATTGTGGTGGATTGGGATTAAATGGGTTGCAGGGGGACAAGGTGAGCATCTTCAAGACTACTAAATTGCATAATCCTGTTGCATGGAAAATAATGAGAAACTAGACATTTGTCTTTGTCTATCATTTAAGTTTTTTATAGTTAATAATTTCAGTGTTCATTTTATTTTCTTAAAGTTTGAAGAAAGTAAAGCTTTAGCTTTTTATCTGTGATGGAATTAGCATGCAGTGATTTCCCCCAGAAATGAGCATAAACAGGGCCAAAATGTGGAAAATGGTATTTTGATGGGGAACAATTCTAGCAGCTCTTATCCAGAGGATACCAACATACAGCCCCTTGAGTCTCAAAATTTCATCTTCAGCCCAAACTAAGCACTCATTCCTGCTCTTAGTATAAGCCTTAAGCTGTTGGTTCTTATTCAAAGGGAATTTTATATAGCCCTGTTAATCTGAACTCACAGTTTGGCCAAGATTTGCCTCCAGTCTTTTCAGACGTCTGTAGATTAAGGATGATTCACATCACTGAGCTGGAAACAGACGTTTCCTGATGAGGATACAAGTCATTAAGTGCAGTTCACGTTGGTGCTTCATATTGTCATGGATTAATTGGCAGCCTAGCAACTCACACATATAAATTATTATTGGGGACTCAATTTAAAACAACACAATTTAAGACAAGCTCTGTAATTTTCAAAGAAAACTAGTAAATCTGAACTCATCTGTGAAATCACTTCATGACATAATTCATTATTATTACATCTGTACTTTGATGAAATTGATGTTCTGAAAAGAATGCCATTGATTGGAATATCTCTGTAATTTATTCAGTGTGTGCAGTATTATCATATTTAAAAATATTTAGAAACCTAAGAAATAAGTTTTTTTGGTTGATATGTATATACTGATACATCTAAAAACCGTAATGAGATATTTATAAATTGACTTACATACTTTTATGTAGATCTTTTCCCCACACACCAATATTGTGCATTTATTTATTTTATATTTCTGTGGTTTGCTATTTAATAACTTTTTTATTGTGCAATTACTTGTGGTTTTTCTAAAGCATTTTTTGGCGCCCAAATGAATTCCTTCATCCATGTGATAATGTACTCCTACTATGGGCTAACTGCATTTGGCCCATGGATTCAGAAGTATCTTTGGTGGAAACGATACCTGACCATGTTGCAGCTGGTGAGTTAAATGCTTCCAAAATTTCTTCTGGTGAAATACTAAAAATGTTTGAATTTTATTAATTGTAAGTTGCAGAGTTATTTTAGATAATTTTCTATTATACAATTGTCATTATGCTGTAGCTGTGACAGTTGAAGTTATATGGACCTAACCAACATACTCTTAGACTTATTGGCTTTAAATCCTTAAAATTTAGACATAGCACTTGTCCTTTAAAGGAAGCATTCTTTAAACAGATCTGTGGACGGGATAAAAAGCTAAGCACACCACAAATTAGATTCCTGTGTGACTTGAAAAGTGATGTATTTCTTTTCCTCTGGTGATCCTTTTTCATTTTAAAGTGTTGTAACTTCTCTTCATCCTGTTCGTTCTTTTATTTTCTGTCTTCATTCCATTTTCCATCCTTGTTAACAAATTTCATATGCTTAGTATAGAAAGTTGAGAAGAAAGCACAGAGCTAAGGGATTAGTGGGATAAGGGGAAGGGAATAAGGAATACTTCTCTGAATCACTGACTGTAGAGAGCAGAGCCTGGCAGTTTGAATTTTCAGCACATGGCCCTACCAGGACTTCTTGTAGCTTCTCAAACACAAGCCTCAGTGCAATATTCAAAACTAGGTGCTACCCTGTAATCAAACCGAAAATCCAAAACCAACTTGGTAGCTAATCGCCAAGCTTTAGAATCTATGATAATTTGCTTTAATCATAGTGTGTACACAGTTTTATCAGTAGAATCACATTTGGAAATACTATCCATCTCTGCTTTAAGTTGCTCAACAGCTGGCTAACCAAACAGGAAACACAGCTTTGGGGGAATGCTGGCTATGAAGGATGCATTTGTAACTGAAATGCTACAGGAAACTTCCTCCAGTATTTCTGCAAGCTGTTTATATAGTTGGATAATTTGTTTCCCTCAGTCATTAGTAAACAGACCTAAGAAAATGAAAAGGTAGCCCAAATCCTGAGTTACTGACGTCTGTGTTGTTGGAGCCTGCCCTGCCACTCTGTTGAGCAATGCCACACTCAATCACACCCTTCTACACACCCTTTTTTATTGGTACAGCTCTTAAAAACCATTGTGAAACCTAAAGTCCCTTAAATTTGGCTGTTTGCCGTCAAAAGTTGTAAAAAGTTGTTTAATAAATTTCTGGCTCATATACAATAAATTATTTTAATAATATTTAATTGGACAATATTGATAGTGCTATCCTTAAAAAAGAAATCACAATTGCCATTTAAAATAGGGTGCTGAATGTGTATTTTCAAGCAGGAAATTTTCTCAGTAATTAATTGTGTGAGTTAATCTTGAAAAGTTACCCTTGTTACCAACATCGAATTCACAGTTCTTTGTCACAAACCATTCATTTATTGATGCATCAGAATTTGAAGTTGTTTCATTATTTTAAGCATCTCAAGTTTTGGTTTTTCCTTTTCAAAACTCTTAAAATTGAAAAGTAATTTTTTGTTCTTTTTCTCAAATATCTACTAAATTTTTTTGAAATTGCTGGTTTTTAAAGGATTATGGTCTTTCAGTTGCAAATTTACCTGTTTCATATCTGAAAGAAACAGATAATGAGCCACTTTCATAAGTTCATCCTGCTTTCTGATAATCTGGTGAAAAGAAATCAGTCCAAAATCAGTCCAAAATGTGAGAGGAATGCAAAGTTGAAGAGCCTACAATACCACTCCACTCCAGTCCTGGGCCATCCCCTCCCACCGCCCGCATCAGAGCTCATTATTCAGCCAGTATTCACTGAGTCCAGACACCTCACTAAGGACTTTATCAATGAGCAAGACAAAGCCTTGCCTTCTTTAATTATATTCTAGTGGAAAGATAGACAGTAAAGGATCCAACAAATATAAAATGCAATTTCAGATAGTTGTGATTCCTTTCTCGATGAGAAAGGAGCCAGAGAACTCTTAAACCTTGAAGAGTGGCAATATTTGGGCCAGTGACAGCTATGTAGACAGTTCTGATGTTGTTAAAACATGTTTGAGATTACAATGTATGGAGATCAAACATATGCAGCACTGCTGTCTTTGTTTTTCAGGTTCAGTTCCATGTGACCATTGGACACACAGCACTGTCTCTCTACACTGATTGCCCCTTCCCCAAATGGATGCACTGGGCTTTAATTGCCTATGCAATCAGCTTCATCTTCCTCTTCCTTAACTTCTACATTCGGACATACAATGAGCCTAAGAAACCCAAAACTGGAAAAACAGCCATGAATGGTATTTCAGCAAATGGTGTGAACAAATCAGACAACCAGCTAGTGATAGAAAATGGAAAAAAGCAGAAAAATGGAAAAGCAAAAGGAGAGTAAATTGAACTGGGCCTTACCTGTTGTTGACAGTGAGGAGACTCCTATGTCATAGAAAATTTCAGGGAAAACAGAAGCAGAGGAGGATTTGGGGGTGGGGAGAAGAGGCAAATGTGCTCTTTGTGCTCTAATAACCTTTAGACTGAGCAAAGTGTTAAATATAATGCCCAGATGCGTTATTTATGAAGTTTTTATTTTAAACTTTTTTTTTTTTTATTAACCTTGATGTTGTCAAGACCAAAGCAATCGACACGTGACTTTGGAGACTCTCCCTTGTTCACATCCACTTATCTACTGGGGGAGATTTTTCATGTATCACCCATTCTTCAGTCAGAATTTCAGATGATCAGAGGAACAGTCTATGAATTTTTTTCTGATAAATGACTGAATACCTACTGATTAAAATCAGTTACCTTACATTTTTCTGGTCCAAAGTGGGAAATTCAGATACATTTAAATTAATATTTGAAAACAATAAAATAAATTTGTGCATTTGGATTCATATGGTGACCAGAATGGTCAACTCTCTCCACCTCTAGTCAGAATATACCTTTTTGGTTGTAATTAAATTTTAAAAACCTGCTGATCTCTGTAGAATCTTAGAGGCTTGATGATGATGGTGTTGGTGAAAATAAGAAAGCATTAACTAAAAATCCTGTCAAGTGACCCAAAGGTCACCATGACTCACAGCACAAATCACTGTGGGAAACAATTTTTGTGATGAGAAGGCAGCCTTTGAATACTCCTATTATTAGCAAGCAGAAATCTATTATGAAAATTAAGATTGATGTCTGATGGAAACATGAAACAACTCATGTCTTTCTTGGTAACATCATAACATAGTTACATCTGTGTGCTCTTAGAAGAGAGTCTGTTGATTTTTGTCAGGCTTTCATTGTTTTGATTTGTGGCTGTTACTGATTTTCATTTGTGGAAATATACCTACCTCTTCTGTTGGAAAGAACATTTAAAATTAAATAAATTTTAATTAAAAAAATCAAGGAGTCCTCTAATGTAAATTTTAATAGCAACTTTCAAATCCACTGTTTTTTTTTTTTTTGATTTTTTACAAATAGCATACACCAAACATTTCCATGAAACTATGCTTCTCTTTCAATATGTTTAATTTTGGAGTGATATTTCCCTTGTGACTAAGTTGCAAGATCTTATTTATTAACTCATCATGAAGTATAAATCCATCTTGGTGCAATATTCTTGACTCCTTGGTGCTAAAAGATTGTTAAATTCAGTACTTGATGTTACAAGGTCTGTAATTGTTAAAACACAATGAATAAAAGTGAGAGTAGTCAGAACTATCAAAATTGCTATTTACAAATGAAATATTTCATGTAATAGAAATGATCAACTGAAAATAAAGCAGGAAGAAGAACTTGTACCGTGTTTTATTACAAAGGTTAATTTGGAGGGGATGTTACACAGGGATCATTACAGAAAGTGTGACCCCCAAAAGCATGAATAATTTCTAAGTGTTTCAACAACATGTCAAAACCGCATGTGTAGGATGTATGCTGTCTGTACAGATAAACTATTTCAGAATATTTTGTAAACTATATTTATTGTGCATTAATTTTACATACTTTCTTCCCAAAGGCATGCAGTCCTGAGAATTGCAAACAGTTTGCAACACATAAAGTAGTTTGGTCTAAGAGGATTCAATAACTTTGTTTTTGCTGCTCAGTGTGTGATGACTAGAGATTTGTAAATCTTTGTGAACATTCTGTACTGGCTCCCCAGAGCTATTTGTTCCCTGCTACCTGATTTCTGCACAATAAATATACTATTGCTGTGGGAAAAATTATTTTTTGTTAATTAGTTTATTATGCTGTAATTTTGTGCTATGTATTTATGTATTTTGTTTAGCTGTTAATGTTCTAAATTCTTTTCTGTTGCCCATTTCTTACATAGAAAATAAAGGAGACTAGAACATGAGCACCTACAATTTCTGGTAAAAAGCTTATAAGGTAGTATATTTTTATTTTAAGAAATGAGTAGCTTTTGGAAGGCTTTTGCATTTGGACATAAAATATCATTTTATCTTAAATTATTCTTATGTAAATGGAGGAGCATTTTCTTATATTTGAATCACAGTCCTTACTGTACTTCAGTAGCTTCTGTAATTTATCTGCATCATGGATAAGTTGCATGATTTATATCTAAAAATCTGTGAATAACAATTATATCCCCCCTTTCAATACAACTTTGTCACTAACATAAAACAGGGAGGTTATCAGATGTTTGTGTTGACAAGAAATACCTGAGACATCAGCAGTGATGTCTTACATAATCCACGACTAGCTCTTCTTTTTTCTCCATTACTAGTTTTCACATTATTTTGTTAATTGTTTTTCTTCCTTGTCTTCTACACACAAGACATTTAAAATATTTCAATATTATGTTCAGATTTTAGAACATGGGATCTAGCAGTGCTTTTATCTTATTAAGAATATTTTTGGTTTACAAGTTGGTTCCATATCTGCAACTCAGCTTCCCTGTAAAGGAGAACGAGAACCTGGAGGTAGAAGTGGTTTTTGCTGTATTATCTGTTTCATCATGCCACAGCAAGCAGCAGATGTTGACTATAGAGGCAGAACTTTTGAGTCTCAGCCTCATTAGAATGAGAAACCACACAACTATTCACATTCTCTTTACCTTTTCCTTGTTATGGCCTTAACTTCAGCCAGCTGTGTTCTTACAGCTCTATCAGGAAACGAGGACCACAGATATCCAGGATGTGAGCTGCTGTGCTCAGCACAGACCTGGGTGACTTAGGCATCCTGCTAGACAGTAACTAGGACAGCTGAGAGGCACGGTGATGCTGAGCTGTCTGTTTTTTAGTAGAGGGCTGTGAATCTGGATGGACAATGGAAGACCTGAATTGAGGGAGTGGGAAAGGGGAAGGTTGCGGGTGGGAGGGACGTTATGGGGGGGAAGCCATTGTAATCTATAAGCTGTACTTTGGAAATTTATATTCATTAAATAAAAGTCAAAAAAAAGAAAAAAGAAAAAAAAAGAAAGTAGTTGATATATAGAAGCATTACCACATGAGGACTGTGAGATTCCAGAATACATTACTGAAAGAGCCTTGTGCTTTAGGAAGGTGGTCTATAACTAGCTTTAGCTGATTAAGTAACAAGAGTTGTTGTTGTTTTTTTTTTTTTCCAAAGATTTATTTGGAAGAGTTATAGAGAGAAGGAGAGATGGGTGGGGGGGGGGAATCTTCCACCCACTAGTTCACTCTAAAATGACCAAAATGACCTGGGCTGGACCAGGCAGAAGCCAGGAGGCAGGAGCTTCTTCTGTGTCTCCCATGTGGGTATCAGGGGCCCAGAGACTTGGGCCATCTTCTCCAATTTCCTAGGTGCATTAGCAGGAAGCTGGATCTGAAGTGGAGCAGCCCAGGATTTGAATTGGCACCCATATGGATACCAGCACCACAGGTGGCAGCTTAACCTGCTTCAACACAGTGCTGGCCCCATAATGAGTTTTAGGTGGGCAAAGGGTGATCTGAGTTACTTCTTGATTCTTGTGGAGTTGTGTGTCTAGGTTTTGCTGCATACATTAAGAAATTAAACTTTTTTTTTTAAAAAATTAAACTTTGTTCTACCTGTTTAGAAACAGAACTTCCCACCCCCCCCCATTTTACCATATAAATGCAGATTTATACATCCACATGTGAAAAGATGTTCTTTCATACCTTTGCTCCTTAGAAAGCTATCTGCTCTTAAGTAGAAACTCCGTTTAGATTTATTGATCTTTTTTTCTGTTCTCATATGTGAGGTTTTCCCAGGGAAGGTGTTCTTAAAGTAGTATCTCCTTTGAGAATAAAATGCATGTTGAAATGCATCACTTGATCTCTCTAATTATAATAATATAATGCAGCTATCAGAAGATCACATTGTATTTTAATGTCTATCAAAAATTTCCAAATTAAAAGCTATCTTGACTAAAAAACTTTGTAAGGTTTAAATAATAGTCATTTCTAAAAAGAATAGGATGTCAAAATTATTACTTCCCCATTTAAATGCAAGACTGAGAGTTATAAAGAATTAGTATGTCTTTAACTCATATTCCTTGCACTCTGTGTCTCTAGGTCTCCCTGAATTTCTTTGCTGCATTTTACAGAAGCCAGTTCGATTGCACCTTTTTGGTCTTTAAGGTTTTTCTTTGTATTTGCCATGGGGAGAAAGGAGCACCCAGTTCAGATTCATCCCTGGTGCATCATATTTGAAATGTTTCTCCTCCCTGTGAGGAAGCTACCCCAAGAACCAGTCTTTCAAGAATAAAAACGACCTAGGTATTTGGTAATGAGAGGGCTGGGTAGCTCATGAGTCTTGCATTATAAGACAGCATTGTTAGCAACAGTCTCACTGCTAAGTGTGGCTTGTGTTCTAATTTCTTTTTTTTTCTCTATTTCCTCAAACAGTTTCTTTTTTTTTTTTATTTTATTTAATGAACAAATTTCCAAAGTACAGCTTATGGATTACAATAGCTCCCCCCCCCCGCCATAACTTCCCTCCCACCCACAACACTCCCCTCTCCCACTCCCTCTCCCCTACCATTCACATCAAGATTAATTTTCAATTATCTTTATATACAGAAGATCAATTTAGCATATATTAAGTAAAGATTTCAACAATTTGCACCCACACAGAAACACAAAGTGTAAAATACTACTAGTTATAGCATTGAGTACTAGTTATAGCATTAATTAAACACCTAAGAGTAATTTTGTGTATTAATTACAGAGTTCAACCAATAGTTTAAGTAGAACATAAAAAATACTAAAAGGGTAAAGTATTAAGTTCTTTTTTTCTTTTTCTTTTTTTGTTATATAGGTTTTTTTATTTAATAAATGTGAATTTACGAAGTGCAACTTTTGTATTGTTGTGGCTTCCCTTCCCCAACCTCCCTCCCTCCTGTGGCCCTCCCCTCTCCCACTCCCTCTCCCATCCCGCCCTTCATTGAGTTTCATTTTCAATTACCTTCATATACTGAAGATCAACTTAGTATATACTAAGCAAGGATTTCAACAGGCTGCACTCACACAACCGCACAAGGTATAGGGTATTGTTCGACTAGTAGTGTTGTTTTTAAGTTTCATAGTAAAGCACATTAAGGACAGAGATCCTACATGGGGAGCATGTACCCAGTGACTCCCGTTGTTGATTTAACAATTGGCATTCTTATTTATGACGTCAGCAATCACCCGAGACTCTTGCTGTGAGCTGTCTAGGCTATGGAAGCCCCTTGAGTTCACCGACTCTGAACTTGTTTAGTCAAGGTTTAGTGGAGGTTCCTTCCTTCCTTCAGAAAAAGGCGCCTCTCTCCTTGATGGCCTGTTCCTTCTGCTGGGGTCTTGTTCACCAGGATCTTTCATTTAGATTGTGTTTTGCCACCGTGTCATGGCTTTCCATGCCTGTGAGACTCTCATGGACCTTTTAGCCAGATCTGAATGTCCCAAGGGTTGATTCTGAGGCAGGAGTGCTGCCATTCTATGAGTCTGCTGTGTGTCCTGTTTCCCCCGCAGGATCATTCTCTCCCTTTTAATTCTATCCTTCATTAGTTGTTTACACTGGTCTTATTTGTGAAATCTCATCGACACATACCCTATCTTTTTGATCGGTTGTGTATTTATACTTATCACTTTACCAAGTGTGCTGGCATTGGTACATGCCTCCTTGGTAAGATTGAGTTGAAATCCTCTGGCACATTTCTAGTTCCACCGTTGGAGGTAAGTCCGAGTGAGCATGTGCCAACCTATATATATCTCTAATTTCCTCAGTAAATCTAAGGGTCATATACAACACCTAAATTTCTATAGGCATATAGTTAGGGTCTATCACCTGTTAAGATACAATTGGATTTCAAATATATTCCAATTTTAGTTACTATAGTGAACTTATTAGGAAAATGGTATAAGATCACAAAAGAGCAAACAACTGCTCTTCAAAGCTATATTTATTCCACATTATCTAGGTGTTTTTCTTATGCTTCAAGGATTTCTTGTAAAAATGATATCTAATCTTTCCTCTAGAAAGATTACTATCTTTCCTCTAGAAAGATACTCATGAGGTAAAGAGTACCCAGATGAACTTGGGGAACAAATTGCTATTTTACCTTTGGAATTAACATCCTGGAGTCTACCCTAAATATTAACTACTTCAGAAATCCAGCACTGTCGTTAGGTTAGAGTGCTTGAAGTTTATCTGCACTATGAATTTATTGCTATTCTCCTAACAGTTTCTCTCTTGTTTCCTTCTGTATTACAGTTTGGAGAGCTGACATGAAATCGTAAAAGACCCCCTAAAATTTACCTGAAATGTGGCCCCTTAAAGTTCCATAGAAATGCTATCAGGGGTGCCACATGCACTACCGGAGTTTTGGGTGCCTTATGATTTCACCACGGGCTTATTACTAAATCCCTGATATTAATAAGCCTGAGAGGGTTCTTGCCTAGTATTTAGAGAAGAATTCTAAATACCGGCACAGATACACGAGGCAGCATGGTATGTTTTAAGCTTTTATTTAGTAAGAAAGGTGCATAAGAGAATGAGAGCTTTATTTTGGGGAGAGAGGTGAATAGGGGTTCATACCAAGCACCAGGAAGCAGCCATGTGGAGGAGCATCTAGGCCAGGAAGCCTAGAGCACATGGCCCGAAGGCCATGCGCCCTGGAGGCGCAGGGCTACAGCAAGCCCTGTCCTGGCAAGAGGCCAGGGAAGAAGAGCAGGGGCCCAGGCACACTGTGCCCTAGGCTTTTAACCCACTCCAAAGGGAGTGGTTAGTTAACCTGATTGGCTGGTGGGCACCCCGGTATGGCCAGGTAGGGGAATGAGGCCACACAGGGGTGTGGCAAAGGCATCAGGTAGGAGCATGAGGTCACACAGGGGCGTGGTCTTCCAGTTCACAAATCTGATCAATTTTAACCTGTATGCCTGTCTACTTCAGACAGATTCCCTTGTGAGCTTGTGATTGCCTTAAAAATTTAGAATTTGTCATATGTGAGATTCTCTGGAAGCAGAGAAGTTGGGTGCCATCTTTCTATAGTAGTGAAGATATATATATATATACACACACACACACACACACACACACACATACAGGTTCCTGCCAACAGAAGTTGTTGGCAACAGGTGGACTACACATTCCATTATCTTTGCATCAGTTTTGTGACTGTAGACAGTGATTATGGTGATAGTAACTCTGGCAGCTGTGATCACAGCATTTGAAATTAAAGATGAAGGATAAAGATGTCAGTTTTTTTCAACTAATCTGTCATTTCATAAACATCAAATCTTTCAAAGATTTTGCTGCTTAAAATACTTTGATTGGGATCTATTTCATACAATGAAATTTACTGATCTCAGCATTCAGCATCAAAATTTGATCTTTCAAGAAATAGGCTGCTGAGATGATATAAGATTGGTTAACCAACCTAGTTGATTTTAGAAGCAGTGACAAACTTTATGACCAATCAGAAATGGAATACTGTTTTTCATGAAGCAAATATTCAAATTATCAAGGCCGGAGCCGTGGCTCACTTGGTTAATCCTCCGCCTGCGGCGCCGGCATCCCATATGGGCACCAGTTCTAGTCCCGGTTGCTCCTCTTCCAGTCCAGCTCTCTGCTGTGGCCCGGGAGGGCAGTGGAGGATGGCCCAAGTCCTTGGGCCCTGCCCCCACGTGGGAGACCAGGAGGAAGTACCTGGCTCCTGGCTTCGGATCGGCGCAGTGCCAACCGTAACGGCCATTTGGGGAGTGAACCAACGGAAGGAAGACCTTTTTCTCTGTCTCTCTCTCTCTCACTGTCTAACTCTATCTGTCAAAAAAAAAATTCAGATTATCACCTATAGTCACCTAGAATGGAGTGGCTGTGGTATACCAAGTGCTTTGCAGTGTTGTGAAGAAATGTAAAGGAATGTGAAGGAATGGAAGACTTGAATGGCAAGATGGCTTATGACTGCACTGCAGAAAATTAGCTCACGTTTAAATTCTTGGTTAAGAGCAAGGACAAGGGAGCATCTATGATTACCCTAGACACTCATAGCTGCAAACATGAAATATCTCGAAACATTATCAAAAGTTTGGATTTTAAAACTTAAGTTCACAGCCTTAAGAGTGAAAATTGTGGCATCACTTGTGAGAAGATGGGATCCAAAGAATTGGAATGTGGCTATTTGGGTAGATTTAGATGACTCTCAGAACCTGAATTTCTAAATTGCTTTAAATGTCTTTGCGAAAAGCAGTCCTTCCTCTCTGTTAGATGACGTTAGTTTCTTTGTACTTATACCCTCCAGGGGGATGGTGATCCTTGTTACACCTGCTTTCTGCTCTTTCAATGCTATCAAATCTGTAAGGAGAATTATATTGCAGCATGTCTGATGGGACAAATAAAATCCATCATAAAAGGAAATAGTTTAGAATGACAGGATTTGCTAATTTTTGTCTGCAGAAATATGTAAGAATAGATTATCAAAGTGCTAAACAAAGAGGTAAGAAACGTCTTTAGAATGGACTGAAATTGTGGATGTAGCTGCACTTGTTAGAACTCCTTAATTTGAAACTATATCCCAATAATGAGAAATGACTTTAATGGGATGTTAGTTGTTTAAAACCTAGACAGTAGTAAACTACATTAAAATGAGATATGTTAGAAATTCACTGGGATAACACAGATGATAGAATTCAAAGGCTTATGAAGCTAGGAATGTTGGAGATTCATCTCATGTAATCCCTGTGACTGTCCCCTAAGGATTGAAAAATACATTGGTGAGGACAACCAGCATCCTTGAAAAATTCAGTATTGGCTACTTTCTGTAGGCTAGAAATGCTGAAAGATGCAAGAAGCTGTCTCTGAAATGCACTCCCTAGCTTTATTGGGAATGATAGTACCACAAACAGGCAGAAGCCAAGTGACAGTACTTAAATGCCGGAGACAACACGGACATGGTTCTAATAATTGACAACAGAGCCTGAGTGGTTATTAAAATGGCCTAGGCTGTGGGTTTACCTGAGGGGTGGCTAGTTTTTATGAGGTCCCTAGGACTGAACTAGATGGGCAACCTATCAAGGTCCTACTTGGTTAGTATAACTGACTCTATTTGGTGATCATAGGCCTGACTTGAGGCTTCACAGTGAAGAGAGAGCTCCTCATCAATTTGCATACTTGTTCCACTAAACAGACTTAAATCTCTTTAGATGAAGAGGACATTATGATGATGTCATAAAGGGTATATTGTAAATCCTCTTCTAGTGTTCACCACAAAGGGAAGGGAGTTACATAGTCTGGCTGGGAGCAGTGGAAGAGATTACTGGGACACCAACTCTGAACTGATGCTGATCATAGGGCATTCAAATTGCTGTTGTGGTCATCAGTCAAAATGTGGATTTATAGAGGTCATGTAATATGTAAATATAATTTTGATCTGAGTCCATCTTACAGTGGCCTAGAGGCTCCCCAAACACAGTCTCCCCAGATCCTGCATGTCTAGTTGAGGAGACATGCAATCTCTGACTGAAGGTCTGACACATAGACTTGGATAAGCTTAGGCATTAGTCATGCAAGCGTTTTCCAAATCTTGCTGGTGTGGGGCTAGTTGCTAAAAGATACAGGGGACAAACACAGGCTCCACAGAAGGCAATTCTATTAACTTCTCTTTTCTTTCCCCAGAAACTATTATTTAAGGTATACAAACTTCATGACTTTCATAAATACAACTTTAGGAACATAGTGATTCTTCCAACCCTACCCATGCTCCCACCCTTCTTCCTCCTCCCTCTCCTATTCCCATTCTTATTTTTTACTAATATCTATTTTCAATTAACTTTATACACATAAGATTAACTCTGTACTAAGTAGAGTTCAACAAATAGCATGAAACAAAACGTTTCCTCAGCAGTCAAGACAAGGGCTATTCAAAGTCATCACCATCTCAAAGTGTCAATTTCACTTCTATAGATTACCTTTTAGATGCATTATTAGTTACCACAGATCAGGGAGAACATATTGTATTTGCCTTTTTGGGACTGGTTTATTTCACTAAGTATAATGTTTTCTAGTTGCATTAATTTTGTTGCAAATGACAGGATTTTTTTTCTTTTTTTTTACCGCTGTGTAGTATTCCATGGTGTACATATCCCATAATTTCTTTATCCAG